CCCCAAAACCCCAAAACCCCAAAACCCCTTTTTAGGGAAAATATATTTAAAAATAAAGAACGATTATGGATTACCATCCATTAGCATCTGCTCAGAAGGAGATCATGGAGAAACGGCTACGGAAATCAGCCGCTTCTCATAAGAATATATCTCCTCAGACTAGGGGTCCTGAGAGTGAGATTCAGTAAGATATTTGGGAGTTGTGGATAAGATGGGAAATTTAGAAAGTTTTGCTTGTTAATAGGGTTTAGTAAAATGAAGAAATTAGGGTTTAGGGTGAGGATAGGGATCTGGAAGTTGAGAAAAAGGTTATGGAACTGAATTCTATAGGGTTAGAGTACAAGTACATAACGAGGATCGAAATTTGAGAGATATGGTGAAGAATATTAAGAAGAGAGTTCGTAAAGGAAAGCAAAGTAAAAGTAATATTTTAAAATATGATTATATAGTGTTTTTCTCAAAAAGCAGAATGCTCAGGGAGCTTTGTAACAGTCCTCTTAATCTTCCTCCTCTCGAATACAACCCAGATAGTTTTCTAAAATAGCCCTATTAACAAAAGTGGAAACTTCGATACATGAAACAACAGTAATATGGGGAAAACTTCAGTCGGGTTTAAAATTGACAATACAGTCAGTAGTGATGCCAAGACAAGATATAGGTTTGGGATGTTCACTCCTACACCAGAAGTCACAAGGTACATTTTTCATTGATCTCTATTAGAGCTGTAATGCAAAGTAATAAGAAGCAATCTAAGAGGAAAATAGAGCTTGATAAATCTATCAAACAGTTAGAAACTAAATAAGACAAAGCTCATGGAGGAGATCTATAGTCTTCACAAACGCTATGAGAGACAGCTCAAGTTGAACAAGGATCTTGAAGCATCTTTGTTGAAACAGAACACTAATTCCTCAGACGCCAGTCCTATCCGAAAGAGTCCTAAAAATAGAGACATGGTTGGGCCTGATCTTAGCGTTTACCAAAGTATGTAACTTGTCTTTTACTGTAGGCCCAAAGGCGAAATCACGTGCTAAAATGAGTGATACAATGCTGAATTTTAAATAAGTTACGACCAAATGCTGACCTAGTCCGGTCTCAGACTCGTGTTCAGCTCGCAAATACTTATGAAGACCTGCTAATGTCTAAAGATTGGCGATTGAAATTGGTGAAGGCCAAGAATCTAATCCGCAAGAATAAGAGCACATCACGGTATGCAAAACTTTGGTTTACCTTTTAGCTCCAATATTACTCCTCGTTCTGACAACCTCAGATTGTCAAAATTTGAAATAATGGAGATGTACGAGAAGGTAAAACTTGAACGGGATGATCTCAAAAAGCGTCTTGACCAAGTCATGGCAGATGAATATCAAATTCCAAAGAAAAGCACTGAGCAAAGGTGCAAGAAGGAGAAGTCAAAGACCAAGGTAAGTAAGGCAAGGCCCAAAACATTGATGCCTAATAAAAAGAAAATGAAGATTGAGAGATCTAAAACTGGGTATAAACGGATAGAGATTGAAGATGTGCCCATATCAAAAGTTAAACATGCGATGTTAGAGCTCACAGAGCAAATAGCAAACGTAAGTAGCTAATGAGAGATACGGAATAATCCATCTTTATAGCTTGATACAAAAGAAATGAATCGGTTCAAAATTATCCTTGATCTCATTAATGAACAGAGAGCTGAAGTAGAGTTTGCTTTGGCAAGAATACTTGGTTGGAACTTTTTCTCAGAGATACAACAATTAAAGGAAACCCATAAATCACAAATTTTTATTCTAAACAAGCAAATCCTTGGTTTGAAAGAAAAGTTAATGGATATGAACTCCAAGGTATTTAAAGCAGACTTTCATATTTCAATAAGTTCTGAAAACAAGTCATCTCTAAATGATGATCCTGTTAGTGGGTTTCATCCCATTGTTACAGGAAGAAGAAGTATGACTCCTCGGATCAACATTACTAAGAATAAGTCTTCTAAATTACTCTCAATTAAGTCCAGATTTAAGCCAAATTGCCTTTAGATTTGCATCATGCCTGTTACAGGAATTATATTGATGCTGTAAAAATGATCATAAATACCCTTTAATAAAAAAACTCTAAAAAATCTAAAATTTTCAACCTGATATTCCTTACCAGGGGTTTTGGGGTTTTGGGGTTTTGGGGTTTTGGGGTTTTGGGG